AGAGAAAGAGAGAAAGAGAGCCGACCGACCAAGACCTCCAGAAGAGGATAACAACAAAACTTGAGAAGTTGCAAGCCTTCTAGATGGCAAATGGCAACCGACTTGGCCAACTTGAGAAAGACGGAGGAACTGTCGGCTAGCAGACAAATTTTTTTTAGAAGGAACCAGACTGATAGAGCAGAACTCTCCAAAGGCTCCAACATAAAAGGCACTAGAAAGTTGTCAGAAACCTACTGAGAAGCAGATAGAACCTAAATCTGTTTCCATCTCCTCCTGGCAGACAGTTTGGAAAAATATTAAGAGTATAAATGGGGGCAAGACTGCATGATGGGAAGAAGACCAAGCGAAGGGTGTGTACTCAGCATGGAGACCCTCTTCCCAATCTTCTGCTTCTGAGCTCAAGGACACATGCAGAAAGCTAAGACCGCAAGAAGCTAACACCAGGACCAAGCTGGGAGAGCCCTTCCAAGGGAATCTGAACAATGCAAGACAAAAGATCTGAAGAGTGACAAGGGAGCGTCCCCAAGGAAAACGGCCAGCAGGGTTACAGTGAATTTTAAACCAAAACCTGTGCGATTATTTTACAAATATAGTGTATGTTAAATACATTATTCTTTAACCAAATATTTTCCATAAAATAATATCTTTCAATAACACATCTGTTTAAAACATAATAAAAAAGTCCCTCCCAAGATGTAGTGTAAAAATATTTATTTACTTGGTATGGCTATAATGGTTATGTAATTATTTTTATTGGCAGTAAAATGTAATTTCTGTGCCCACGGTGGGGAAAATATTACATCTGTAGGCATAATGGTTAAATCATATAGTTTAAAAGGTAAAAATGAAACATATGGAGAAAATGTCTCACAGGGACACAATTTTGGTATGAAAAATTCGCAAAATAGTTTTGTTTTTAGTCAGAACTTCAAGATTCGCCAAAGGTTTTCTCTAGTCAGAGATGAGACACATTTTTCTCAAATCTATCTTTATGTTTCCTAAGACAATAATACTATGAAAATCAGGAAATAAGCACCAACATGTGTGCAAACTGTATTTTAAATCTTATTTTATTTGTTTATTTATTTGGTACAAAGTCACAACATGCAGCTTGGACTCGTAGAGATTCTGTCTCAGCTTGCCCAGCACTGGGATTACAGGTACGTGCCACCACGCCCAGTTCTGGTGGCTGGTACAGTACACCCGGGGTTCAGGAGCCAGCCTGGCATGTGGTCCCGGAGATCGAACCCAAGTCCTTGGGCTTGCCAGGCAAGCACGTAAGAGCATGGAGCTTTCTCCCCAGCCCACAACTGATACTTCAGCCTGGGTAAAAAGGAGCTATTTAAATGCCTGTGCAGTGCTGAGTTGCGGGGTGTAGGACTGTTCTGCATCTTCAGGCTTCCTCAAACCCTGCTCTTGGCTCTTGGCTCTTGGCTCAGATTTTCTGTGCTACAGATACTAACTCTGATATACTCAGGCCTTGATCACTAGATTCCTCACCTTGGTTGACAGAAATTTTCACCTTAATTCCTACTTGCCCATTTTGTTTGAGGATCTGGATCCAGCATTCTTTTTCTTCAACTGCATTCTGATTTTCATTAATTCTGCATAATGGTTCAAAATCATTTACCACTGGTTTTTGAGTTCAATATGGACATCTCTGTGAGAATCACAAGATGAAAAAATACAAAATAGTAAAGGAATAGGTTTATTCGATAGCTTACTTGTAGGCAGTATTTCAGAACCCACCTCACACTCAATGAATGTGTGTGAATTTCGGCGGGGCCTCATTCAGATGGGGCACACCTGTAATTCCAGCACCCGGGAGGCTGAGGCAAGAGGACCGCCAAGAGTTCAAGGTCAGTCTGCCGAAAGACTGTCTCGTAAAAAGAAAAGGGACTTTGAAAGGCCACTCTGCACAGTCCATATGTAGCGGGAAGGCCTCTACCCTAGCCACTGTCCTCAAGTCGGGCCTGGAACACGTTAAGATGAAGCTGTCTTTCTACAGCTCAGTGACAATTTTTAACATCTGGAAATTTCCAGCTTATTCCCTTTCTGAGATCTTCCAGATATTCACTTTCATGAATAAATACTAAAACAGAAACTTAATAAAAAATGAGTAAAGCTAAGTTCCAATGACAAGTATCTTTGTGCTGAAAACAGACACCATGAGCACAATGTAATTAATATTACAGAGAATTTGGGGGAAAGATCAGACTGACAATCTTTTTTTTTTTTTTTTGGCAGAACCAGGGATTGAACTCAGGCCTTTGCGCTTGCCAGGGAAGCACTTATTCCACTGAGCCATCTCCCCGGCCCCAGTCTGACAATCTTAATGTCCTTCAAAAGGTATACAGATCCATAATTTTTAAAAAATATTATATTCAAACATCCATGTCATATTAAAGAACTTTTAAGCATAGTCAACTTTCAAAATATTTATACAGTACATTTCAGTTGACAGGCTATTTTTATAAGTTTTGTCCTCAGTAAACTCCATGAAAGAAACACTATAATCCCTGTTTCACATTTCTGTTTTCTTTAACCAGCTAATTTCCATGTTAACTTTATCCACACTTTAGAAGGCTATCTTCCTTCTAAATTTCATCTTGGCACTTACCACTGCTGAGAACTGATTCTTCTTTGAATTTGAATACTTCAGTATTAGAAGACTTCAGTTGTGGTAGTCTATAGTCTGCAATCCTCCCAGTTTTTTTCTTTCTTTTTTTTTTTTTTTTGTGGTACCAGGGATTGAACTCAGGACCCTGCGCTTGCCAGGCAAGTACTTATTCTATTGAGCTATCTCCCCGGGCCCTCCAGCTTTCTTCTATTCAGTTTCCTTCCTTATACTCATCTTCAACTTTGCAGGAAGGACTGGGCCCTTTTCCCCTATAGGTAGGCAGTGTATCTCCACTTCTGATTTCCAGCTTAGTACCATGGTTGTCACTTCCCTGCCAGCCCTCATCCCTGTATTCTTTCTCTGCGTAAATCCATCCTCCCACGTTGGCTCTGCCCAATCCTAAACTGCTGGGCTCACGCAGCTCAGCCTGTTGCCCTGACACAGTTACAGTATTTAATTTCAAATAGATGGTGACTACTCTTCAACTGAATCCTTGCCTATTCCATACTCAGTCAGCTTGCCAGCTCTCCTGTAGCACTTCTTCAGATCACACTTGCAATCATACAGTTTCAAAGAAAGAAAACCAAAAGGAGGGCTGTTATGTAACTTCTTGTCATGGGCAAGAAAATTAATACTACAGAGGATAAAGAGATCCAAGTCCATAGGTAGTAAGGGGGGTAAATAAATCAGCCTGACTCTTGAACTGTTGAATCCACTCTACATCCGTGTGTGTGTGTGTGCGCGTGTGCGTGTGCGTATAATTTTTCTTGCTCAGTTTCTATCTTTCCATTGCTTCAGTTTTCAAGAAAAAAATAGCATGCTCTCAACACCAACCAGTTCCTTCTCCTCTCTATCTTCACTGGCACTCCTTGGGGCAAGACACCATTATCATACAACTAGATTACAACAGCCCCCTTCACAGTTGCTTCTATCCAATCCTGTCTTTCTTTCTTTCTCTCTTTTTTTTTTTTTTTGTACTGAGACTCAAACTCAAGACCTTACACCTGCCAAGCAGATGCTTATGCCACTGAGGTACATCCCCAGCCTAATCTTGTTCTGTATGCTAAAAATGACTTAAGTGATCTTTTCAAAATGTAAACTCCTTAGCTGTACTCTTTTTAGCTCCCTAAAGTCAATTCTTTAAACTAAAGGTTCACAAACTCTACTTACAAAGGACTAGATAGTATTTTTTAGGGCTTATACACCACATAATATCTATCCTGAATTTATTCTATTGTTTTAGCAAGAAAGCAGCCATACACAATGCCTTTAAAAAAAAAATGGGTGTGGGTATGCTAGAGAAACACAAACACAGGTAGTGGACCTCTGACAAACTCTACTTTAGACATACTACATTATCCAATCTGGACTAGACATAGTGTTAATGAGAAAGAATACAGTGATAACCAAACTGGTCATATCCTTTGTCTTACAGAACTTAAAACTTAGTGGGGAACAAGTAATTTTTAAGGAGGGGAATAATTTTTAACAAACCTTACATAAATATATACAACTACATCACCAAATATCCATCTATCCCATATACCTATCCATCCACCCACCCACCCTCCCACCCACCCATCCATTCAGTCATGCATGTGTGTATGAGATTCCATGAGATGGGTTTGGCCTAACTACAGGAATTCAGAAGGGCTTCCTGAGGAATACTGTGGACAGACTGAGATACAAAGAGGAGAAGAAGGAGTGTCTAAGAAGAAATACCAACCTAAAGATAGAAACTACAACAGGAAGAAGTCAGCTCACTAAGGGATCAAAAGAAGTTAGGGCTCAAATGATAAAACAATGAGATTAAAGAGTAAGGTGGGATTACACAGTGAATTCTGAGCCACATTCAGGGTTCTTGCTTTATACTAAGTACAATGGAAAGTCAATAAAGGAAGGAATGGTTATGACCACATTTCTATAGCAAGAGGAAATCTGCCTTTGTTTCCCACTGAACCCTCAGTATAAGGTCTCTGGCAGACTTTGGACACATACTAGGGTGATAGAAACCTATGGAAGACACAAATTTTTATGATAGAAAATCAGGAAGACGGGGCCAGGGAGATAGCTCAGTGGAAGAAGCGCTTCCCTGGCAAGCTCAAGGGCCTGAGTTCAATCCCCGGCTCTGCCAAAATAAAAAAAAGAGAGAGAGAATCAGGAAGACTTATTGATAGGCTTTGTTTGGTGGGAAAAAATCTGAAGAAAGGGGAACTACCTAGATTCACTGATAAGGAGAACACTGGAAGACAGTCAGGTTTCATACAAAAACAAGACTTTGATTTGGAACAGGTTGAATACAACATAATTTCAACATATAAAAGAATAAATGTTAAGCAAAGACATGGGCACACAGCCCTTAAACTCTAAGATGTCTCTACTAATGTAATGAATGGACTGGAAGTATATACTTAAGAAGATATAGAACAAAAGAAAATGCACTAGGACTGAGAAAGAACTGTCATTTATCAGGCATACCAGAAAAGGATGAATCTGCTAAAGAAGAAAAAGGCAAATAGTCAGAAAAATCAACAGAATGCTGGAACATGGAAGCTACCAGAAAAAGTATTCTGAGAAAGATGAAGAATCAATATTGTTGATGAGAATTCATAGAAGATAAACACTAAAGGCATTCACAAGAAATAGTCAAACGGAAGCCACTTGTAATCTTACTTCAAGTTACTAGCGCTAATGCAGATCTTCTTCCTTACGACCTCAGCCTGTTTTTCCCTACGACTACCCGTACCGCAACAGGATCCAGACTGCCATGACGTAAGGCTCTGCGTGTGTGGCATTAGGAGGGCAGGTGCCTAGAAAGGGTTAGAAAAGGACAATTTACCTAGGAAAACACAGGCAGCTTACAGACGGTGGCCAAGCATCTGCACGCAAACAACAAAGCACGGCACAGTGTACGTAAGAGTGGCACTGACTGGGGTGAAGTCTAGAAATAGGCTTCCCGACGTGAAGGCTGAGGGAGAAGCACATACGCTCTATTCTCAAACAATGACTAGCACATTTTCAGTGTCTTCCTTTATTCAGCCATAATCGCTGGGGATTTCACCAGGTTTCTGGGAGCTCACTCTTTACCTCACAGACAATACTGCACATTTTAGAATCACAAGGTATTTTTCTCAAATACATGAACTTAAATGAAAAATTATGTGTGAAACCATCAAGGGCATATTCCTGAATTTTACTAGCTGCTTAGTAGTGTATGTTTACTGAATTAGAAAATTATGAACTACTTTATGAGACCAACTTTAACAATCCATATACAGTGAAAGTTTTATTACCTTGAATATCATCGTTAAATGTGCAATACTGGTTTCGATACTTGTTGAGAAGGCGAAATGCATTCACATTGGCAAAATCTTCAAACTGAATAAGGCAATTCATGCCATATCTACAGGACAAAGACATTCACTTTAGGTTACTGAAATCACATTTTAAAATAAGCCTTTAAAAGGAGCCAACATAAAAGGCAAAATATCATTTTCCTTTAAAAATTCTATCTAGTTGCTTAGTGTACATAAACACTGCAATATCTGTTCAGCAAATATTTGCGACCTGCTTACTACACAAATATATCACAGTACTGGTGCTGTGAATATAAAAAAGACAAAAATTTGATCCAAAAAACGGTCCATATGCTCAACGAATTTGAAATTTAGTAGAAACAAGAATCACAAAAACTTATATAAAAAGGTATAAACAAGGAATTATATAAGTTTAAAGGACAAACAAATCTTTCCATGTTGGGTCAATTTCTTTCTCCACTGTTTTTTTCGGTCTCCAAGGATTCTCAGGACTCCTTCCTTGATTGTAAAGCCAAGTTCCTTGACCATGAAAACCCCACAGTTACGTACTTGTATTTCTCTGCCAGAGTCAAACCTCTTGGAAGCCAGGGTGCTAACCCCTGCGTTTATTTCTCATTTCTCGCTAACATCATGCTTATGATGTAAGGCCCCTCCAGTCACTACCTCCTGCTATCATCACACACTCATTTTGGCTTTCGCTGACCCTACAAAAATATATGTAGGTCTATTATTTTTCTTCCATTTTTTTTACTGACCTACTATTACATACTTGCCTATCATGGATTATCTTTTTTAAATAATCATAAAGCAAATAGATGAAAGCAATATTGAATTTTTACTGGTTTCTTTCATTTTCTTTCATCTTCCTTCCCTTCTCCTCCATTCCCCTTCTTTCTTTTTCCTCCCCTCCTTTCCTTTCTCTCCTTTTCTTAAAGGTTTTATTGTAAAGGAGAGATGGGATTCAGCCTTCCCTGGCAGCTGGATGGGGCTCTGTTCCTCCCCATGCCTCCTGGCACAGGAGGTGTATCTGTCCTCAATGTGAGTTAAACCTAACTCACTCGCTCTAGGCAAGCCCTCCACCAGTATAACGCACTTAAAGGACCTTTTCTTAATTGTTATTTTGAGACAAGGACTCATTAGCTGCCTATGTTGTCCTCAAACTTGTGAGCCTCCTGCCTCAGTCTCCCAAAGTAAACAATTACAGGCATGCACCACCACAGCCCGCCCACACCTTTCCTGATGAATCTGAAGCGCTGCTCCTCCTTGGAAATCTTGAGCAGCTCCAGGATACCCTCCCCACCCTCAGATCTCTCAGCACTGGTCACTCCGCCAGGCACCCACAGCAGCAGCCGTGCAGTGGTCTCCTCCTGATCCCAGGACCAGGAGGTAGCACAGAGCTACAGCGACTGTGGCAAAGGGCAGGGTCCTCCTGTTCATTGTAATTTAATTGCAAGTAAAACTAAGCCTTTTTTTTTTTTTCCTATGTCGATTGGTCAGTTGTAGCTCTTTCTAAAAGACTGTATGTTCACAGGTTACTTTCTATTGCTATAATCTTTTTCTTATTTCAATAAGAGTTTTTTTAAAAATTAATAGCACTATTTTTATTGCATATGCTGCAAATGGGTTTCCTAATCTAGTATACTGCTCTGTTAATCATTTAGATGGTGTTCCTATTTGTTCTTTTGTTTGTTTGTTTTATTCTACTGAGCCATCTCCCAGGCCCCTCCTATTTGTCCTAGCAAAAAAATTTTTATGAGTCGAGTCTCTCGCTTTACTTGCAGTTGCTGCCTTTGGCAGCATGTTCACAGCAGCCAAGTCAACACAAACTTAACTATTAATCAAAGTCTTCTTTAGAAGATTTAGAAAACTGTTAAACTCAAAGTCTGGTATTATTTTATATTAGGCCATAGATTAAAAAAAAACAGATAAATCAAAATTTGTTTTCTTTTTTTTGTATTTTAGGACAGGGTCTACAGGGTCTATATGGCCTCACTGTAGTGAGACTCAAAGTGATCCGTCTGCTTTACAGAGTATTCACAGTCTTACTAGACCAGACTCGCTCCTGTTTACAGCCTTCCAAGTGCTGGGATTACAGACATGCGCCACCATGCCCAGTCTCAAATGCCATCTCAGCATGCGGGGAGGGGTGGGGGACATGCCCAGGGATCACACTACCAGCCCCTGCGTCTGCCTAAGCTTTAATTCACTGAGCTATTTGGCTGGCCCTAAAATTTCTGTTTTCTATATAATTCAACCAGCTACACTAGCACCACTTAACACACTGTCCTTTCCCTTCACACCTGCATCACACACTATGTTCTACTATACTGTTTCTATGTTTTCCTGTCTTATTATACTACTGCTAACGACAACAAAAAAAATCAAAGACACAGGCTCTGACTGTCCACTGTCACTCTGGGAAGTCCTGTTACTATCACCATCCAGAGAGGAGGAGAAGGTGCCACCCACACCCCAAGTCGGCACTGCTCAGCAACGACAGCCCAACACTAATGATTCATCTACTGATTTGTCTACCCAGAAAAATAATCACCTTTATCTTAATTACTACAGTTCTCTAATCTCTAATAACCTTAATATTTAGTACTGTTAGTCCTCCTATACCTTCTTCTTAAGTAGTTGTTTGGCTGTCACAGTAGTTTAAGAGATAGACCGCGGTTCAGAGCTCCTGGGCTGAAATCCTGGCCTCCTCAAATGCTATGTGTTATGTATTTAACTTTCTGTGCCTGTATTTTCCATCATGAAAATAAGAATAATGGCATTTTATCATAATAAAGTTATTATAAGGATTAATACCACTCAAGTGGTAAATGTAAGTGTTCAATACAATGACTGGCACTAGATTTTTAAAAAAATTATTGAATGTTACCAAAAAAAAAAAAAAAAGCCTTAGATAGTGAAATAATATCCTCAAAAGGCCTAGAAGAAAATAACTGTTATTTTACACCATACATCTAATGAAGCTTTTCAAAAGTAAGGTAAAAATAAAAAATTTTTAAATAAATACAAACCAAAAGACTTTTTATAAAAACTTCAAAAGCTGTATTTCATGAAAAAGAAAATAATTCCAATGAAAAGGTCTTTGATATAATTAAATTATAAAATGTAGATAAATACAAGCAACTTCATTCACGTGAAACAGTAATGGTACGTAAAATTCCCTCTAGCTCTACAGAGTGAGGTTTGCAAATCTGTTCTCTGAATAGCAAGAGTACTTCAGGAAAAAACTTTTTATACAACTATTTCAGGGGCCTGGAAATCAACTAAAGGCAAAACAGGGAATTTTTTAAGTACAGCAAGTAGGGGATGTGAGCCAATTTTTTTTTTTTTAATTTTATGTATTTGGGGCAGGGTCTCACTATGCAGCTCAGACTCGCAGTGATCCTCCTATTTTCATCCTCCCCAGCACTGGGATTACAGTTGTATGCCACTGAGCCTGGTCTCAGTGGCCGGCTAAGTGCGCCCACCAGGGGCAGGGACAGCACGACTTGTATGAGCCAATTCTTAAAAGAAATAAAATATTTTTTTTACTCATATGTATTACACTATTCTTCATCTTCCAAGGAGACTCTTTACTTTCCATTATGGAAATATTTTTTTTTAAGAAGTGCTAAAAGCATTTCGATAGTTATCACTTTAAAAATAAATACAAACCAAAAGACTTTTAACGTCAACAGCAAAGTAAAGTTTGTAGCAATGACTAAATCCCCCAGATACACACATCAGACAATGATCATCTGACTCTTGCATTCACTGCTGACCCCTCCCACCTCCCTGATTTCTAAGCAGACCTTCAGAGAGAAAACACTGTGTGTCAGCAAAGAGTACCCTCTAGGGCTTGCCCCGATGCATCACCCTTTTGTGGTCTGGCAGCACCAGAGGACCCCTCATTATGTGCAGAAGGGGAGAACACAGTGGTCACAGCATGTGAGGAGGAGTCAGAGCCTTCTCAGTTCTATTCCCAGATCTACCACTTACTTGGTTTGGCGGTTTGAGGCTTGTTATAATTTCTATGTGGTTACAATGAAATCCCCACAATACAGCTTGCTTTTAGGTTTAGGACACAATGCGGTCAGGCTATAAACTTATAACGTTTCTTAAGTGAAATCTGAGAATAGACATAGGTAGTAAAATGGTACACAGGGTACCTTATCATTTACAAAAGCTTAGTTTAGAATTATTCCCTGGGGATACTGCATATCAGTTTTAATTTCATGAGTTTTCTCTATATAATAGTTAACTCTGATTTGACTCCTGGAGATTCAGAAAGAGGCATTCTGAATTCATTTGGTGACACAAGCATCTTGCATCATGTAATTTAAAAAAAAAAAAAAAAATAAGCCATGTAAGGGATATTTAGTTCCAGTTTGAACCAACCTTGTCACTATGAAATTATAAGAGTGGAACTCTCAAAAAGTTAGCCAATTCAACTCTACATAGCTATGAAAAGAACCTACTATTTTATGATCAAAATACACCATAAAATAGTGGGTGTAAATGACTTTAAATGGTAACAGAAATACTACCCATAAAGTTAACATGGAAAAACTCCAGAAATGTCACTTTTGGTGCCTAGTTAAATCTGACAAAAGCTTTATCACAGTGACTAATCTCTGTATCTAACACTTATTAAGTACCAGATAGGGCCCTGCACATTTTACAGGGATTATCCCATCTCATTCTCTCAAGCCCACTGAGGAAAGGACCATGCTTCTCCATTTTCCAGCATAATTAAGGACAGCACAGTGTGAATTCACACTGCTGGGTGTGGTAAGGTCACAACTGAGCCATAAAGCTGCCACTTAAGGTATCGGTGACCAAGTCAATGACAGGAACTGCATACTCACAACTAAGGACGTTATGATTCTATCCTAACCTGAAAATGTTTAAACAACATTTATGTGAATTCAGCATTGCTAGATACTTTTATTGTGGAGCACACATGGACAGACGTTGGGGAGAACATCACACTTTGGTTATCAACTATCAAGAATTCACTGTAGCCAAGTCCACTGGGCATGCTGTGAATTTTCCCTGAGAGATTTAGTAGTTCGAGGATTTAGTACAT